GGCAGAGAACATGACTTTAGCCTTTTTCAGGGGTGAGGGTTCATCAGCAGCCTCTGGTTCTTCAAGTATGACACTCAGAGCATTGCTCAGCTCACGTCGAAGAAGGTCAAACTGGCTCCATCTTGAAGACTCATCCGAACGGGGTTTTTTCTGCTGCTCCAGCCGCACATGCAAACTGGTAGAAGTTGTCACAAGGATCAACTGAGGTATCCATTGCCTCTAAGATGTCTGCAGCAGCTAGAACACATTCTTCAGTACTGCAGATCTCCACTTTGCCGACGCAGTTTTGAGTGTTATATACAGGGAGCCTGTGGGCCTTATCATCATGAACTTCCATGAACTTCAAAAATTATCATGAATCACCTCAGCAGTCAGCCTTGTCTGTGACTCCCTTTGCCTGTATGGGCTGGACAATAGAATTTTGGAAATTATTAACATTGTATTTAGTGCCATTTTCAGTTGGACAAGAAGCTTAACCAATAGAAAGCTGTATTCGACTGACCAATATCTAAAGCCTAAAATCCAATTGCAATACTAATCAGTGGTTCTTAATCTGTTTACCACCACGCCTCCCTTCCTAGTCAGTTTTTTTTTTTCAACCACCCTATCTTTAAATAATTTAAAAACTTTCCAGCATTTAGATGAAAAACTGCCCTGTTATTCTGTATAACTATCATTTATGTGCGCATGGGACACTGGTTAAGATAATTCCAAATATGAAAGAGTAATTACTGTTCTTTTCCTTTGTGTTCCCTCCCCCCTCTGGAAACCACTCATTCAACTCATCCAACTACTGATTAAGATTAACCTTCATTATTTAAAGTGTATACGAAATTAAATCTTATTTTGCTCTCTTCCTAGTTGCCATATTCCCTTCATAGTATAAATACATCCAGTAATATGTTCATTTATAAACTTCAATAAACAGCATACGAATATAATGCAGATTTTTTTTCTCTTATTCCTATGGCTTCCCTAGAACAAAAAACAACAGGCGAAAATTTATGCAGTAGAATCACAGCCACAGGACTGCAAATGTGATATAACAACAGTAGTATTAAGAACAGACTAGTGTGTCGAATCAGCGGCTGAAAATTCCACTGAACAAATATTGCCAGCAATAATAATATTGTAAAAAATCAGATCATAACGTAAATAAACATATTCATATAAAATAAGAAAGAAATACTGCAAGGTAAGTGCACTACAGTAGAGTAACATTGTAAAGTAATTGCTGCCTATGCGAGGCCCATCACACTCACAGCATGTCGGCAGAGAGCGTCCGAGGGGTTTGAGAGCCAGACGTAGCAAGGATCCCCACCATCGCCATACAGGCCAACACCGCCACCCCAGATATCGCAAGGAGCACCTTTTCTAGGGGAGTCCTGCGCCCCCCCCTTCGAAGGACGCCCGATGTTTCCGCCACGTCATTCTCTCGTCCTGTCATTATCTCCATCTTGTGTGACCAAGCATGGCATGGGAAGTTGAGGCCTTTATGAGGAAATTATATATATATATATATATATATATATATATATTATATATATATAATATATATATATATATGTATGTATATGTATATGTATATGTATATATATATATATATTATATTATATATATATATATATATATATATATATATATATATATATATATATATATATATAGTATATGTGTGTGTGTGTGTGTGTGTGTGTGTGTGTGTGTGTGTGTGTTTGTGTATATATATTATATATATATATATATATTATATATTATAATATATATATACATATATATATATACATAATATATATATATATATATATATATATATATATATATATATATATATATATATATATATATAATTTCCTCATAAAGGCCTCAACTTCCCATGCCATGCTTGGTCACACAAGATGGAGATAATGACAGGACGAGAGAATGACGTGGCGGAAACATCGGGCGTCCTTCGAAGGGCGTGGGGGCGCAGGACTCCCCTAGAAAAGGTGCTCCTTGCGATATCTGGGGTGGCGGTGTTGGCCTGTATGGCGATGGTGGGGATCCTTGCTACGTCTGGCTCTCAAACCCCTCGGACGCTCTCTGCCGACATGCTGTGAGTGTGATGGGCCTCGCATAGGCAGCAATTACTTTACAATGTTACTCTACTGTAGTGCACTTACCTTGCAGTATTTCTTTCTTATTTTATATGAATATGTTTATTTACGTTATGATCTGATTTTTACAATATTATTATTGCTGGCAATATTTGTTCAGTGGAATTTTCAGCCGCTGATTCGACACACTAGTCTGTTCTTAATACTACTGTTGTTATATCACATTTGCAGTCCTGTGGCTGTGATTCTACTGCATAAATTTTCGCCTGTTGTTTTTTTCTAGGAAGCCATAGGAATAAGAGAAAAAAAATCTGCATTATATTCGTATGCTGTTTATTGAAGTTTATAAATGAACATATTACTGGATGTATTTATACTATGAAGGGAATATGGCAACTAGGAAGAGAGCAAAATAAGATTTAATTTCGTATACACTTTAAATAATTGAAGGTTAATCTTAATCAGTAGTTGGATGAGTTGAATGAGTGGTTTCCAGAGGTGGGAGGGAACACAAAGGAAAAGAACAGTAATTACTCTTTCATATTTGGAATTATCTTAACCAGTGTCCCATGCGCACATAAATGATAGTTATACAGAATAACAGGGCAGTTTTTCATCTAAATGCTGGAAAGTTTTTAAATTATTTAAAGATAGGGTGGTTTGAAAAAAAAACTGACTAGGAAGGGAGGCGTGGTGGTAAACAGATTAAGAACCACTGATTAGTATTGCAATTGGATTTTAGGCTTTAGATATTGGTCAGTCGAATACAGCTTTCTATTGGTTAAGCTTCTTGTCCAACTGAAAATGGCACTAAATACAATGTTAATAATTTCCAAAATTCTATTGTCCAGCCCATCACAGGCAAAGGAGTCACAGACAAGGCTGACTGCTGAGGTGATTCATGATAATTTTTTGAAGTTCATGGAAGTTCATGATGATAAGGCCCACAGGCTCCCTGTATATAACACTCAAACTGCGTCGGGCAAAGTGGAGATCTGCAGTACTGAAGAATGTGTTCTAGCTGCTGCAGACATCTTAGAGGCAATGGATACCTCAGTTGATCCTTGTGACAACTTCTACCAGTTTGCATGTGGCGGCTGGGAGCAGAAAAACCCCGTTCCGGATGAGTCTTCAAGATGGAGCCAGTTTGACCTTCTTCGACGTGAGCTGAGCAATGCTCTGAGTGTCATACTTGAAGAACCAGAGGCTGCTGATGAACCCTCACCCCTGAAAAAGGCTAAAGTCATGTTCTCTGCCTGCATGAATACAACTGCTCTAGAAGAAGCCGGCCTTAAATACCTAACGGACTTCCTCTCGCTGTATGGTGGATGGCCCATGACTTCAACAGATTGGAGTGAAAAGAACTTTGACTGGCAGTTCACAGTCGCTGATGGAAGGAAGACGCTTGGCAGTGCATATCTATTGAGCGTGTGGGTGTTTGCTGATCAGAAAGACACTGACACGACAGCCTTGTACACTGATCAAACCTCACTGGGGCTGCCAAGATCTGTGCTGATTAATCCTTCCAACTATGAGGAGCGAATCAACGCCTACAAAACTTACATGGCTGAGACCGCATCTATCATGGCCAAACATCTTGGTCAGTCTGTAAGTAGTGAGGACATCCAGCTTGATGTAAATGCCGTCTTTGACTTTGAAATGCTCCTTGCCAACATCACTACCCCTGATGAAGATCGGCGAGATATTGACCGCATGTACAATCCCATGACGGTGGCAGAGCTGAGTGACCTAACACCTAACACCAGCATCAACTGGCAGCAACTCCTGTCCAACATGTTTGCTGTTACTGGAAACCCTATTGAGAGTACTACGCGGGTTATTGTACAGGAGGTTGAGTATATGAAGAGAATGGCTATACTCATTGACACCACAAACCAGCGGACACTTGCTAACTATCTCATGTGGCGTCATGTAAAGGCCCTTGGTGATGAGACAAACCAGGAGATGCGTGATGCATCCTTCAAGTATGCTATGGTGGCCAATGGAGTGACTGCAGCTGAACCCAGGTGGAAGGTATGTGCTGACAAGACCAATGACTTCCTCGGCATTGCCCTTGGTACTAAGTACGTTGAGACCTACTTTTCACAGCAGGCAAAGGATGAGGCCAATGAAATGGTGGAAGACATTCGTTCAGCCTTTAAGGATCTGCTTGATGTCAACGATTGGATGGATGAAGCAACCAAACCTCTCGCTATGGAAAAGGCTAATGCTATCTCCAAATTCATCGCTTACCCTGACTGGTATGGAAACGCCACTGCACTTGAACACTTCTATGACGATCTTGGTGATGTCCATACAGACAGACACTTTAGCAATGTGTTGACTCTTAGGTAAGTCTCTGTGAATTTCCATTTATGACTGTCTGTCTACATTAGAAACAAATAAATTTCAGTTAGATTTCTTTTCCCATGTATGTTAAATAACAATGACATTGATATATCTTGAGTGCAGTTCCTGGTGGAGCACAGATGAGCTGAATGACTTTGGCCTCCCAACGGAGCGAAGCAAGTGGTTCTCGGCGCCAACCATTGTCAATGCCTTCTACATGCCAGAGTTTAACTCAATCACTTTCCCTGCGGGCATCCTGCAGCCACCCTTCTACCGTGCTAATTCCCTGCAGGCCCTAAACTATGGGGGTATTGGCCAGGTAAGAGGCGACACTGATGAATTAGTTTTCTCTACTCTAGGTCTCATTAGCAGATGACATTTGTCTATCATTCTCTCTCTCTACACACACACATACATCCTAATCCTCTTTAGAATGTTGTATTCATGCTTGAAGAACCTGTCTTGGTGTTTAATAGTACATCGAAAAACCTGTTCACAAATTCGAAATCTCAATATTATTATCTCATGTATGAGATAATATTAATTTTTAGATTATGGAAAATGTATTTGTAGATTTGCCTCTTCCTCTTGATTTCATGCATTTCTTCATCTGTTTCTTCCTTTTCTCACATTATATCTTCACCATTTTTATTCTATCACAGGTGATTGGACACGAAATCACTCACGGTTTCGACGACCAGGGCCGACAGAATGATAAGAACGGCAATGCTATCCCATGGTGGACGAATGCCACTTTGGAATCATTCATGGTAAAAGCCCAGTGCATCGTCGACCAATACGACAACATTCGGGTTCCTGAGATCGATGACTTCATGCCAAATGCCACACTCAATGGTGTTAATACTCAGGTAGGATCTATACTTTATTTACAAAGTACTTTATTTGTACTTTGTGTGAATTTGTATTTATAAAATGAAGGAAAGGAAATGATATAGTTTAGCATATATATCTTTCTATAGTGGGATGCATACTTAACTCTTGTAAGTTTCCAATAATGCGTACATGATATGCCTTTCATAACAAACTAAACCTAAATTCAGAATAAAGAACATGTCCCAGAAAATCCAAAAGGGATTTAAATCAAATATCCCAAAAGAAGTAACTGATTAACTCTCCCCTTTTTAACTCTTAATGAACAGATGACCTTCCGCAGTGCATAACATTTCCACAAATAGTTGTATGGTAGTATTTCATGCCCCTCACACCCTCCATCCTTCTAAAGTTATCAGAAGGGTCTACACTATGTAGGTATAGCAAACAGCCTGATGCATTGTCACTGCTTTTGATTTTGCTCCAAACATTTTTCTTATACGCCAGTCATGAACATATATTCATGACTGTAACCCCTTTTCATTTTTTCCCTAATTTAATATATAGTATTACTGAGGGCTGGTTACAAAAGTAAAAGGCAAGTATAAATTTTATCTGCATACGATATTTATGGGTGAGTGCTTCATGTTTACGGTGATGTGAAGCGATGATGTGGTAGCTTTGATAGTATTAAGTGCTTAAAGGTGCCACCACTGACGAAAAGGGAGCAGCTGTGCCAGGTCACAGTCTCTCAGTTATCAAGACATACAGTGCTTCCTCGGGGTCACCCATGGAAACTAGGTACCTTGTGGTCTTGGGTCGAACTATGGAGTCTCTTGGAGCAGCAAAATATGTGAGGAGGCGGGCCTTGCTAGTTTGCCTCCTCAGGGGAACCCAACTGGCAGCAAAGATATAGATATTGGTGTTGGGGGGAGGGCAAACATCCCTCCCACCCAGCAAGGCAGGCACACTGTGGATCCCTCTGGGTTGGCGACCACTGGGACTCAGACTGGGCATTGGGGTTACATGTCCCAGTACCAGTGGCCACCAACCAGGTGTGAGGCTTGTGGGGCAAAACCCACAGGTCCCCCACATGTGGATTATGGGACCTGCAGCCATCCAGAGTCTGCCCAAGTCCTATGACATGTCAGGGTGGGGGCTTGGAATGCCCGCTCCTTGCAACAGGATGAACTGAAGAGGCTGAAAGTTGAGGAAGCTGCTCAAATGTGAAAAGACCTAGCTGCATGACATTCAGTGTGGTTGGCTACACCTACTGTCAATGAGTGTCTGATCGAGCTATGAGATATCTGTTGGTGCTCATGACTCGGGAGCTGATGTTGGCAGGGAGAACAGCTTCCTTTTCCAGGATTTAACAAGATACCAGAAAATAAGTATTTCTGGCTCCTGGTACCAGCACTGTGACCTGCATTATTGGGCATGGTACAGCAGTGTGGGTAATGTGGCCAAAAAGATCGACCACAACCTCGTTACCACTCATTGGAGGATCCTTCAGAACTGCAGGGTGTATTGGAGTGCTGAGTCCTATGGTATTAATCATGAATTAGTAGAGGCTACTATTTGATTTCACTTCAAAACTTCCCATTAGTCCAATGATCATCTTAGCGTTTTCATGTGGACAGGTTGGTGGAGGGGAAGTGTACACAGGGGTTTACCGAGACTATGGTCGTTTTGCAGCACTCGGCAACCTGACAGATCCTGTACATTTATGGGGCATCTTCAGGCATGAAACACGCAATGCAGCTCAAGAATCTCAGGAGACACAGGAGGCCACAGATGCTTGTTCCACAGCTCATAACCGGGGATCGTGATCTGCATTGTTCCCTAGTGCACAGCACTCAATTACTGATGAGAAGGGGCAAGGAACAGTTTAATTGGAGTCTTGCAGAGGAGGTCGAAGGCCAATTCTTAGTAAATGACTTTCGTCCTAGCTACCAAGACCTGAGAAAGCTGAACTCCAAGCCCTCTTCACATGCAACTGCAGTCAGCTCAGTAAATGGCCAGGTCATCTCAAAGCTGAAGAGTGGTAAAGCAATGGGTATTGTGGCATCTAGCTGAACTGTCAAAGGCTGGTGGTGAACATATGTCTCAGGGTTTCCATTCTGTCTTGGCTGCCAGACAGCCAAGGTGATCAATTGGGACTGCAGCAATCACTTAGGCATTATCCTGTTCACCTCCTTCTGAGATTTACCAGAGACCACCTGCTGAGGTACCAGAAGCCACAGCAGTCTGGATCAACTGCTAGTACATCCACAGTAGACTATTCTGGCATTTTATCACTGTAGAGTACTGTTATAAGTTTTGGGCATGGGTTGCTTGCATCCTACATCGCCCTCAAGAAATCGTTTGATAGGTGTTATTGGGAATCACTCTTGGAGACCCTGATATTGAGAGGAATTCCAAGGATTACTGGATTAATAGCGTCTGTATAGTTGTACTGAAAGTGCTGTAAAGTGTAGTGGGAGCCTGTGGAGCTTCTTTCCTATTAATATAGGACTGAGGCAATGCTGTATTCTTGCACCAACACTTTTCAACATATACATGGACTGGGTACTGGACAGAGCTAATGTCCAAAGTCACTGTGAAGCAACACTGGGCAACATCAAGGTTACTGACATTACCTTCTGTCTTTGGCTGGGTGTAGTCTGGACCAAGACCAAGACCATGATACAGGACTTTGGGGATATACTAGGAGAACCTGTTCGGTCGGTATGTGCTAGCAGTGAGGACACTGAAGGAGATACCTTAGCAGTGTAGTTCATGACTGGGCTGTTAAATCGATGGATTGGTATGGCAGGAAGGTCAAGAACCCTTTTGACTGAAGTATTTGGAGATGCTGGTACCTGTGCAGAAGGACCAAGCTACATGTCTTCAAGGCCATGATACCGCCAGCATTACTATATACTGAAACTTGGATGCTATCCTGTGACTTGGAATCTCATCTTGATACCTTTTGTAATGGGTAGGTCCTTGCACCGGTTCATGGGGCACTATTGGTGGGATCACATGTCCAATCAATCTAGTACATAATCTGTTACTTGGACAACCTATGACTGCCAGGTCAGTCAATATGAGCACCTGGCTCGTTTCCCACAGGATGATCCTGCCCACTAAGATGTCTGTCTGAGACAATCCTGGAGGAAGGATGTCTGTCATAATTAGCTAGAGATGAGCTGAGCCTCTGCCTGAAGGCTTGCCATGAGAGACCCTTGCAGGTGGACACAATAGGTGAATGTGGCTATGCGGTCCTGTCAGCATTAGCTTCTCAATGTGAAGGCTAACAGAAAATTTAGCAAATATGTATATACCATATGCTGCCAATGCCATAGATTCGAGATTTGAGCGTTTTTTAGTGTACCTATCCAACATGGTTATGAAATTGGAAAGCGTTCCATGATTATGGATTAAGACACACGCTAATAACATTTTTATTCTCCAGGGTGAAAACATTGCTGACAACGGCGGTTTAAGAGAAGCCTTTTTGGCCTACCAGAAATACATTGACCGCAATGGAGAAGAACCGCGTCTTCCTGGTCTCGACCAATACTCCCCCCAACAGATTTTCTTCCTTTCTAATGCCAACATCTGGTGTGGTTCTATTACCAAAGAGGGTCTTCTGAACCAGGTGCTTACTGACCCTCACTCCCCAGGCAAGTTCCGTGTACTGGTCCCCATGCAAAACATGGAAGAGTTCTCGAGTGTGTGGAGCTGTCCTGTTGGCTCTAGCATGAACCCTGAGAAAAAGTGTATCGTGTGGTAATTGAAATGGGAGGAGTTAGAGTTTATTTTTCAGTTATGGTTATTTTTCAGTAGTATTACACATGAACGTGATGGGTAGAACAAGGAAGGGATTTAAAGTATATTGATATTTTCATTCTTTAATGTTGTGGACAAGATGGCTTAGCTTGTGACTTAGACTAGATATAATGTGTGTTTCATATGGAAGCAGTCTCTATGCAACCATACTCTGAAGTCTGTTTAGTTGAAACAAATTTCTACGTGAATTCATACTTCCAAGTCTTCCTACAGATTGAGGAAAGTAAATTTATTAACATACTAAGGATACAATAAAACAAATAAATTTACTCATTTTTATTTCCCTCGCCTATACTATAAAAGAAAAAATCCAGTACTAGTAAAGCACTGCTGACAAAGTGCAAATAAAATTGAAAACAATGTGATACCTCAATAGCATTAAAATCTTTGTCACATGGAATGCAATATCATCAGATTTGAAACGTGCTCCAAAACTTGGAGATTAGAGGAAGTGACTGTTATCTGAGCAAAGACTTTCTTGTTACCAACTCATTGATTAGGGTTATATTCACGGCACGCACGGGACTTTTTCACAAGCACTTCCTGAAAAAATTAATTTGGAAAAGTTTGGGGATATATTCGCATATGTGTTTGACCAACAAGCCATTTCAGGCATGAAGGCTGTTGTTCTGGATGTTGTCCTGAAACAACCTAGAGATGATTACTATGGATTGCTGGAATTGCTTATGATTGTTCTAGGTAAAATTCTTGTAACACATTCATTGAGGATCATCACAAATTTCGGGGTGGTTTAAAGACTTAAAAAGTTTGTGCTTTAAATATATCTATTTCTGCTCACCCCAGTCACACTAGCATGCATTTCTGAGGAATTTCTCATCGATAGTAAGATAGTAATAATCGTTGCTTTTGGGATATCAGAGAATCAATTGAAAAGAATATTGATAATGTCGTTTCGCGTGACTGACACTATCGTTCTTTCAACTCGTGTGACCTGAAAAAAGTTTACAATTTATGAAAAATTGTAAAAAAAAGAATCGTGGAGTAAAGTATAATAGAGTAAAGTCTGGTCATTTTTCCGGCGAAATCGCCCATCTTGCCGAATTTGATTTAAATGTTTTTCCAAAGAGTTGCAGTGCCTCTGAATACCCTGAAAATATAACGATTAGATATGATTAAAATGAGATCATTTTCTGGAAACGCTCAAATAATAACGAAGAATTTTTGTAAATATATAAAAATGATGTCCCCTTCATATGGAATATTTTCTTTTCTGTATGTTTTGATCATATTTCGTCAGTTTCATCTTTGAGCAAAACCCATCCACCCCAAATTGGGGGTTAGTTTGTCAAATGATCCGAATCACCACCAAATTTAGGCTATGACACACCTAAGATAAAAAAAAAAAAAAAAAAAAAAAAATCATTAATATCTGTCAATAACTTTTGGAGTTCCTGGATCCGAATCCTGACCCAGATCACGACCAAAATCTCACGGCATCAAAGTTAGGCTAAGGCACACCGCTGCTACAAAATCTGATAGTAACTTTTTGAATTATACAAACATGACAATAAAAATAACAACAAGCAATCACCTAAAAAAACAAACGGAAATACCAATATATATAAATATAAGGGCATGGAATAAACAATCTGTATATAAATATATATTATATATATATATATATATATATATATATATATATATATATATATATAATATATACATATATATATACATATATATATATATATATTATATTATATATATATATATATAATATATACATATATACATATAATATTATATATATATATATATATATATATATATATATATATATATATATATATACATATATATATATATATATATATATATATATTATAATATATATATATATATATTATATATATATATATAT